TTTGGACTTCGGGTATTGTTGCTCTCTGTTCATGCAAGAAGGACCAGGGAAGTAAGCGGGTGAAGGAATAAGCCCGCTAACAGTAAGAGAAGGCCCTTACACCAGCAGACAGTGATCTTGATTCTTTCTTTTAACCTCTATAACTAGCTAAGTGATAAGAATACACCTAAATTCTTAGAGTATAGGCCTTTACAGACAGGCCTGAATATCTATATCCTAACAATTAGTATTAGGTAAAGTATTGTGGTAAAGATGTGTCAGATTATGCATGGAGATAGATATGGTGAAACTTTGAAAACTATTCCTTTGTCACAGGATACAGTGAGCAGGCAGATCAATGAACTTTCTGAAGCTATCAAATTGCAACTTTTGACTCGAGTTAAACAAAGCACAAAGTTTGTCATACAACTTGATGAGAGCACTGATATCGCGAATTTGGCTCAACTCATGTTTGTCAGGTAGTACTATGAGAATGAAATTATGGAAGATATGCTGTTCTTCAAACCACTTGAGGGGCAAAGTATGGGAGAAGACATCTTCAATCTTGCGAATGAATTCTTCAGAGCACATGGCTTGTCATGCATTGGCGTATGTACTGATGGCAGAGCGGCAATGGTGGGTCCCAAGAAGGGCTTCAGAAGGAAAGTACTCAACATTGCACTCCACATTAAATTCACGCATTGCATGACACACCTAGAGTCTGCCTTCTTGAAATCCATTATCTTGATTGTGCTGTTTTCCCTCCTACCATTCCTTAGAATCATGAACTCTACCATTTCATGATCACTTTCACCTAAGCTGCCTTCCACTTTCAAATTCTCAGCCAGTTCCTCTCTATTTGTCAAAATGAAATCTAGAATAGCCTCTCCCCAGTAGCTTTCTCCACCTTCTGAACTAAAAAATTATCTCCAATACATTCCAAGAACTTGGATAATCTGTGCCCTGTTGTATTATTTTCTATGTCTGGGTAGTTGAAGTCCCCCATCACCACCAAGTCCTGTGCTTTGAATGCTTTTGTTTGTTAGTTTAAAAAAACCCTCATCCACCTCTTCTTCCTGATTAAGTGGTCTGTAGTAGACCCCCTACCATGCCATCGCCCTTGGTTTTTACCCCTTTTATCCTTACTCAGAGACTTTCAACAACTCTGTCTCCTATTTCCATCTTAACCTCAGTCAAAGTGTATACATTTTTAATATATAAAGCAACGCATCTTCCCTCTTTTCCCTGCCTGTCCTTCCTGAGCAAGATGTACCCTTCTATACCAACATTCCAGTCATGCGTATTATCCCACCAAGTCTCTGTGGTGCCAGATGTGCCATAGTTGTGTTTATTAACTAGCATTTCAAGTTGTTCCTCCTTATTCTCCATACTTCTCACATTCGCATACAGACATTAAGATACTGATTTGATTTTCCCCCTATGTTCTCTCTTGTCTCTCCCTTATCCCTGCTATAATGTCCATGCTCCCCCAGACTCCAACCCTTCTCCCGGGTCTCCAACCTGTGGGCTTTTGTCACCTGCCCCCCATGAAAACTAATCTAAAGCCCTCCTCACTAGGTTACCCAGTCTGTATCCAAATATGCTCTTCCCTTTCCTCGATAGGTGGACCCCATCTTTGCTTAGCAGTCTTTCTTCCCAGAACAGCATCCTGTGACATTTTGTCAGATGTCCTTTTATTGCACCTTAAATTTCTCATGCTTCAGTTCTTGGCACCCGGCCATGGTAACAACGGCACTTGCTGGAGCGATGAGCAGGGCAGAGGACTCCTCTTCAAAGATTGTACAGCCACTCCATGAAGGTACTTCAGCCCAATCACTGCAGTAGTTTGTAGGTGACACTTCTGATGAGGGAGGAATTGGAGGATCTGTGGCTCATGCACCACCCTTTCACTGTCTTCTGCACACTGCCAGACAAGGGACTGTACACAGGAGGGTTTTGCTCCCCAACATCAGGCCCATCAAGCCAACCCCAATTGCAAAGCACAGTTGCTCTGACTGAGCTGCACAGGAGGCCTTGGTCACTGCAGTGAAGAAGACAAGCTTTGCCCCTTAAAGAAAATTTTTGTTTTCAGCCACAGATGATAATATTAAGCAGCAACTTGTTGATGATGCACTGTTTACTATCAACTCAAAATTATAGATAGGTGAATAAGTCATTTTGGATATAAAACCTGAACCCCTGCTAATCTTCAGAACTGAGAAGTTATTTATTATCTGTATTACATTAATACTTAGAGGCCCCAACTGAGATCAAGAACCCATTGTGCTAAGAACAGTAAGAGAAAGTCCCTGACTCAAAGGGCAAGCGGCGGGAACAGAGGCGGATTAAGATTAATTGGGGCCTGGGCACAAAGGACATGTGGGTCCCCCACGCCCTATTAAAAACAAAAATATACCAAAATGCATTAATACAAAGACTCTGTGCATGCTCTTAAAGTTTCATATTCCTTTTAAAGAGATTACATGTTCTTATTTTGATTCTGTCACTTGTACCCCATCAAAGGTCCTTTTCACCACCATCTATTGATCTGAGAGTAGGTTAGGAAACTAATTACAGCCAAACTGTGCGTATCATTCCCAGTAACATCTGTACATAGCAATGGGGAAAATGTGCTACATTTAATAAACTGTAAATGTCTCTCTCTTAAGTACTCATTACACTTACATTTTAATAACACAATCACATTACGTAACCTGGACTACAAACAGAGCAAGCATGATATCATATGGGGGGACAGAAGGGAGAGAGGAGGGTGTGCAGGGGATAGAGGAGGCAGGAGGAGGTTGTCAGGGGCAATGGAGAATATGAAGAAGTAGGAAGGTCAGAGCAGGGCAGGAGGAAGACTGAGGGGTGTGCTGAGGAATGTGGAGGAAAGGTGGTAAGCAAGGGGGGGATTTGGGAGCTTGGTGTGGGAGAAGACAGAGGAGAATGCAAGAGAATGTGGGTCAAGAGCAGGCGCTGAGAGGAGCAAGGGAAAAGGAGTGGGAACGGGAGCGGCGAGGGAGTACAGGTGAGTGCAGAGGTAGGTGGGGGACAGGGACATCTGACAGAGTAAAGAGGGAGAATGTGAGAGGTTGGCAGTGGGAGGGAGCCAAGGCAATGAGAAGAGTGGGGCTAGAATGGCAGCTCCCCAACCCCAGGGGTTAGGGGAGAACAAGTCACATCGCCCCTGCCAGGATCAGCAGAAGGAGAGGTGCTGAGAGGCACACGCCAACCAGAGTTTAAATCTCACAGATCAACCCACATGGAGTATTTATCAACACCCACAAGTTGTAGACCAGCTTCAGGATTTGGGATTGGGAAAGGGCCGAGGGTGGCAATAGGAACAAGCCTCTAGCCTCCCCCTGCCAGCCATGCAGCTTTGTTATGGACACTGTACTCTGTGTCTGCCTTGGGTTCCCCCAGGCTCTGCTGGAGCCCCTTCCTCCCTTCCGTGGCACTGCCGCGTTCTGGGCTCCAGGCTTTCTCTGCCTCCCCAACCGGGCCCCACTCTGGATTCCCCTCTCCAGGTTTCCCCTGCCTCCCATCCTGCCTGGTCCTGCTCCGCAGCTCCAGTTTCAGCCACTGACCTAGGGATGCCCAAGACAGAAATGCAGGGGCTGCCTTTGGTGGAGACAGCCCATGCCCAGCCTGACATCCAACATGGTGGCACCACTATGGCACCAGCCGCCATGCTCTCCTACCCCAACGGGAGATGGAGCTACTGCCGTGGACTCCCAAATTGACTGGGGCCCCAGGCGTTAAACCACCACTGGGTGGGAAGAGAAACAGAAAGGGGACCGTGACTGCCTCAAGATCATAGAGCAAGTCAACAGTAGAGCTAGGCATAGAACCCAGGTCTTTTGATTCCCCATCTAGTGATCTAGCCACCAGACCATGCTACCTCGCAAGACAATGCTTTTTGAGGTTCTGAGATGATTGGCTCTGGGATTTTTTTTCTTCTCCCTGATTGATGGCTAGGACCTGTGCCAAGAGTGCTGTAACACCATGGTAAAGTCTGTTCTCATTATATTTATGGCCGGTCCCAGGTAGCATTGTGAGGGAGAGAGGGAACACCAGCCCAACCCTTGAATAGGCAGAGAAGGGGAGAGGGCCTGCCAAGCTCCAATCACACTGCATAGGAACAGGACTATCTGTCTGATTCAGTCCACCAGATCAACCCTGAAGATGTGTCCAAGAGTGTAGTTAGGCTGCTGGGCCTATCTGATAACAGTGGTTAGGGGATCAGAAAATTACTAAAGGGAAAAGGCAGAAGAGCTAAGTCACAGATCAGTCAAAATTTGATCCCACCAAGAAACCTTCAGCTGTTCCCCTCAGAGAGAGCACACATCAGCCAAGTTGGAGTCACATAACTACCAGTGAAGTCCTGGCTTTCCTCTTCTCCCTGACCTGACTAGAGAATCACCAGGAACCTAGGATGCATCTCCACTTCCCTGGTTCGTGCAGTGGCAGCAGATGACAAGCATGCACCATGCTGTGTGACTCACTGCTGTGTCAGATGTCCTCTGTCTATGGGCCCAGTTCCCAACAATCATTATCACTCTTCAGCTAGTAAGGAAATTTTAGGGGCATTCATGGTGCGAAGTGAAGGTCTTGCAAACCTCTCCAAAGATGTAGCTAATTTTGATAAAGCTTCAGATGGGCATTTGAGATTGTGCAGTCTGATCCAGTATGAAACCATACTGGCATCAGTTAATTATAGGTACCAAAACAGAGGCTGGTTTTAAAAGTTTGCCCTAGAATCACCAATTTTCCTGATCCCATGATTTTTCCAGTATGGCGTCCCATGACCTCTTCAAGAATTAAATCTTTCACTAACAGTCCAATTCTCTAGTCCTTTGTCCCACTTCAGTGTTGCTCTGAGTTCCTGCTTTTCGACAGCTCGTCATGCAGACTACAATTACAATTTAACCAAGTAGTGAGGTTTGTTCAGATGATTACCCACCCATCAACTTGCCACCAGCAAAACAAACAAGGAAACAGATGCCAAAAGCCATGGTTCTTTTTTATTTTAAAAAGCATGAAAATCATGGGATCCATGCATCCTGTAAGAGTGACAAATCCAGCCTTGTTGATTTCAGATACAGCTCACAATCTGCGTCTTCTGTTAATTAACAATTCCCATATTTAAATTACAGTTTATAAACCCACAAAGAGTTTTAGATGCCTGTTGTACTAATTCACACCTAGATAAAAGAGCAAACACATTCAATGTGAATGAGATGACAATTCATGCCCTAACAGAGATTACTGCTTAATTAAGAAAAAAAAAGACAGACTAGGGAAAAGAATACACAGGGAATTAGTGATGGGGTATGGACTCTTTCACCTCCAGTTCAATGGTACATATCTAAAAGGGGCAAGGGAGTCTGGAGTTAATACTCTGATCACTCTTCAGTAGCATATGCCAAATAAATTGGTGGTCTCAGACAAGTTCCCAGTGGACAGGTGTACTAAAAAGCACCATTGCAACTGACACTAATTTGGACCTTTGGAGGCAGACTCAGCATGAGGTCAAGTATTGGTAGGGACCTGCGGACTGAACTAAGAAGATAATGTTTGTACTTCTCGGTCCCAGAGACACGGACAAGGCTTTCATCTCAGGGCCAAAAGACCAAAAACATCAAGACACATGATCACAGCCTTTGATAGGCTGAGAAACTACTTACACTTGATCTTAGCTCTAAGGAGCCGAGAATACGACTACTACACTCTTTATCCTTAGATCTTAAAGAGGACAGGAAGTTGTTTTAGATAGGGAGAAAACAGATGCAGAGGTGAAAGTGACTTGCCCAGCAGGTTAGAGGCAGAGCTGTCAATACAGGCCAGATATTCCATGCCAGATGCCCAGTGCCCTAACCTTTGCTGGACCTGTTTGAGAAATAAGACTTGAGTCTCCAGTACTCAGAATTCAGCACCTTTGGTGAGCACTATGTTCCACCCAACAAAATGTGTTGACAAATGTTTAAATCATCTGTTGCAAAAAACACAAAAACCTCAGAAAGCATGTGGCTGCTATGTGCCTAGACATTCAGTGTTGGCTAAGGCACTGTGTCCATCTGTTCCCAACCAAAAGTGATATCCTATTACGCAGCCATGAAAATAAAGAGCCTGATCAGGGAGTGAATGTGATTTAAGTTTCCCATTGCTATCCTGCATATTCTGACTCCTTGCATATTCATTAATTCACAATAACTTCCTGCTGCTGTCTGCTAAAAAATTATTATGCTAATCACCATAGATGCTCAGACACTGTGGTGACGGGGAATATGATAGGAACCTAGATAGATGGAGAGACAGGCTTGTGTTGATAATGACACATGGTGTAATTTCAACAGCTGGTCATGAGGAACAGTTGCTCCAGCTATAGACTTCAATATTTATGTCTGTAAATTTCTAATAAGATGGGGGTGAACCCAAATAGAAGCATCTCTCTTTACTTTTCACCATATGCTCTTTTTAAAGGTGTCTTTTATTCATCTTTTTGTTGGTGCTGTTTGGTTTGTACATTTCATGTGTCAGTCCTTGCTCCACTTTTCTGGGTTGCTAAAATATGAAATGAAACATGTATCACAGCTGGGCACATCTGTGTAACACTGCACATCTAGCTGCAGAATATAGTCCATGAAAGATGTTCTACATCAGATGGCTTAATTGGGAGCTCCACCAAGGACAGCATTGCTCTCTTTTATATCATTTCCTTCCACCCTTCCCCCCGGCCTTCATTGTTCATCTTCTCTGTTCTTACCTACAGCAGGGCCATTTAGGGTACTGATAGTTTTATTATTTTAAAACCAAAACCAGACAGAGAATATAAAATCTCTTGAAGATTACAAAGGAGTCTTTCTAATTGCACAAAATAGGAAAATGTGTTGACCACTAACATTTCCAGATTTTTTTTAAAAAAGATCTATAGGGACACACCCAATATAGTCATCACCAATTGTATAATGGTATACACCAAGTTCTGGAAGGCTCTGAGCATCTACAGTGGAGCTGCAGATACACAGCATCTCTCAGAGTGGGCATCTCTCCTTATTTACTGAATCTTCTTTTCAGGGAACTCTTGAAACACATCACTAAATGTCCCTTGCATCCAATTTCCTTTATAGACTATAACCCAGATTAAACCAGGAAAGGAGGTAGGAAGGGGAAAACAGTTTCCACTGACTTTCAAAACAAATATCTATGAATGTGTTTAATGTATTTTAAGTAACAAGACTAAAAAATGAATTCATTCACTCTCACACACACACATACACCCCAGTCCTGCTCTCCTGGGCTAGCCCCTCCAAAGAAACAGTCTGCAGAGAACAAGTCTGACCTAGAGACATATGTTCTTTAAACAGAATTGATGTCCATAGCTTTCAAAGTGGAATCAGGCAAGTTGTGCCTGGCGCAGGATTGGAGCCATTCGGATGGCACATCTTATTGTTTTTGTTTGCAACTTGAGCCAATATACCATGGGAGCTCAGTGTAGGTCAGTGACCCTGCAAGAGGAGCTACTGGGCGGCAGGTCAGATGACAACACTCACTGTCATGCTTTGCCCATAAGGAGCCACTTTCCTGTGCCAGACCAATAACTTCTTTAGCTCCTCCCTAAAGCTATTGTGCAGCCAGCCATATATGAAGGGGTTGTACCAGGCAGAGCTCATAGCAAACCAGTGGCAAGCAGCTGGACAAGGCTAAGATAATAGGCATCAATGGCATTGATGAGGATGAGGTTGAAGGTGAGCAAGGGCAGCCAGCACAACCCGAAGACCACCACCACCATAACCAGCAGGCAGAAGGTCCTCTTGCGCCTGGGTCTGTCCCAGTTGGCCTGACTCTGAGTGATGGTACCAGGCATGACCCTCTTCTTGAGCTTGAGGGAGATCTTGGTGTAGGAGACCAGGATGGCTAGCAGGGTGCAGAGATAGATGATAAGCAGCAGGAAGAGCACATAGGTCTGCTGATGGTGCTCTTGTTCCCCCCAGAATTCCTCGCACAGGGTGAGCTCCTGCTGGCAGAGTTCCACGTAGTAGGTGTGGGCCATGGCTGGCAGTGCCAGGTAGCAACAGAAGATCCAGATGAAGAGCACCACATAGACACCCCGGTGCAGTGAGATGCGGCGCCGCAGTGGATGCACAATGACTATGTAGCGGTCCACGGCAACGGTGGCCAGGGTGAAGACAGACACGTAGACGGTGACAGGCTGCATGAAGAAGACGAAGTAGCACATGGCGCTGCTGAAGATCCAGCCACAGGGCTCAAAGACATAGGCCAAGGTGAGTGGGATGCAAGTGGTGCACATGGCCACATCTGACAGGGCCATGTTCCCGATCAGGAAGTTGGTGACGTTGTGCATCTTCTTCACCCACACCATGACATGCACCAGCAAGCAGTTCCCCACCATGCCCACCACCACCATGGCTGTGTACAGCAGGATGATCAGCACCTTCAGATGGTGCATCAGCTGCAAGCTCTGGAACAGTACCAACATCCTGTTGGTGGGTGGGGTGAGTGCAGACTGGCTCTGATTGTGGTGAGCAGAGCCCGAGCCCGGGGCCCCAGTCTTCCAAGAAATCAGCCATCTTTGCCTAGAGGGCAAAGAAAGGGGGAAATTAGTGACCCCTCTACACTCTATGGTCACTAGTTGCACCTCCTCCTCCACTCCCCCAAGGGGCCTTAGTGGTACCTCCTCTTCCAATCCTACCACAGGAACCAGTGGTCCCTGCACACACACATACCCTGGGGCATTTATGGCCCCTCCGCCCTTACACCACCTACATGGGCACATGTGCAGTTCAATCCTCCGATCCCAGGAGAATAACGATTACCGTGAAAACACCTGAAGGAAGAGACTCATGGCCATCCCTTCTAGAAACATCCCTGCAGTGAAACCCTCCCCTGAGCGCTAAGGATTGCCGTGCAAACACGTCGATGGAGAACATAAGACGACACCAGAATTAGTGACCCCCTTTCCTTGCAGGCACACTTCCCGTTTATATCCTTGCCCTCTCGGAAATTCAAGCAAAGAGAAAAAGCACCCAGATGATGCTATAAATGGCCACGAGCAGAGACATCTACCCACAGATAGGCATGCAGTGACATCTCGCGGGGGACATAGATTGCAATGAAAAGCAAATGGAGAAAGTATAATCAGATACATCATACATTAATAATCCGTAATTACAATACATGATGCAGCAAGCAATGAAGTACTACCAAAAGAAGCAAGTGGGTGAAGGACTACCCGAATACGGACACCTCTCTCTCTTTCCACAGAGGCGCGTGAAAAATCCCCAGCCACCGGAGAACAAAGTTTTAAAGACACCTGGAGGAAGATCTAGATGACCCTCGCCACTACCGACATGTTGATCCCCAGACACACGTGCTAATAGATCCCCATTGGCAAGGGGACTAGGGGAGAGCCCTCTCCCCTCCTCTCTCATTGTGAAGCGGGTCGGTGCCGCGCGGTGTCCGTCCCCAACCCCTTCTCAAGCCGATCACTTCGCCGGCAGAGACCAGTGGGGCAGCAAAACTCAGCCCTGGCTCCAGGGCAGCGGGCTCCATCCCCAGCGCCCCGCACTCGGAGGGGGGGCGGTGCAAGCGGACGGGCTAACCCTGGGGAAGGTCCCAGGAGAGGGACCCGGGCTACAAACCGCTGAGCCAGGCGGAGGTGACGCTGCAGGGACCGGGCTGCAGCATCGCTGGGCGCAGGGAGCCGGCTGGAAACGGGAGCTCTCCAGGGTGCTGAACCCAGACACGCGTGACTACGGCTGAGCACATCCGAGCTCCTTCCGCCGGGGCGTATTAGCTCCCCGCGGCGCTGCCAATGAAACACTGCACCCCGGTAAAACCCAGCGGCGCCCTTCCCTTCTGTATGAAGGCAAATGAGGCTTTTAGAAGAGCAGAGACCTGAGTCAACAGAGAAAAGATAGAGGGTGCCTCCCTTCTAACGGCTAACTGCAGGGTGCCATGTGCTAACCAAAGGAAAGTTAACACATCAAAAGAAGGATTAACACAGGAGCAGATGAAATTGAAAAGGAAAAATGATCAATGAAATGTAAAGAAAGGAGACAATTTCAAGCTCGTTCTTGAGGGGAAACAGAGTTCTGTCTTACCATTCAATTATTAGTAGCTTTTGTGGTAGCAGCTAGAGACACCCCACCCCGTTGTGTTAACAGCTGATAATAACAAGCACATGGGAAAAGCGTCTGGTGAATTCCGATTGCCTTTGAATTCAAGCGTAAACCAAAATGATTTAGGGCCAGGAAAGAAATTCTTCCTCCCCAAAAATTCTAAACCCTGTGTCAGTGCAAGATGAACTTGCCAGGCCAAAAAATGAGAAGCTGTTGTTTGAGGATCTTCAGAGGGAGCCATGACTTTCCCTGGGGTGGGGGTGCCCTATGACCACAGATGGGACTTTCCCAGGACTAAGAACAACCTCACACAGCATCCATTTCCATTCCAAGTTCCAGGTATGCTTTTTGACCTTACCCTCCCCAATGCAAACACACAGCACATCATGTATGCATAATAATAAACAGTCACAACAAAACAAACCCACATGCATTCCCCCCCCAAAAAAAAGTGTCAGAAAGAAACAACATGTGAGGCATGCTAACCATGTCAGAAAATGCTCTACTGAAAAGTCCTTAGAGTCCATAGTGACTCTTCTTCTGAAGAGAACAGAATGGGATAGAATATGTTGCAAGTCCCGCACCATGTTTTAGACTGGCCTGGCCTGGCCATCTTACATTAACTATCCTTTTGTGGGTTTTTACAGGTCTATGAGACAAATTAACATTTGTCAAAAAGAAAAAAAAATCCATCAACATAGTTCCAGCTATGCTTGGCTGTTATATAAATACAAAACTTTGTCAATTGAACTCTAAACTGATAAAACCTTGCCCTAGAACAGTGAAAAGCATTCCATGTAAAGCACTCATCTGGGGAAGATTCATCTAATTTTATTATAGTTTGTATAATCGAGACAGGAAAACAAGCTTTAAATCATTTATACTCCCCCCCCCCCCCCAACTCCCCCAGGAAAACTGAATTTTGAAAGATAAAGCCTGATCTTTGAAATTCCACATTCAGGAACAGAGACCTTAAGTTACTTTCAATGAGTATTGCTTTTAAAAAAAACCCTTAAACATGCACATAACTTTAATCACATGACAAGTTCCATTGACATTCATGGCACATATGCTTAAGTGCTTTGCTGGATCAAGGCCATGATTATATGGACCACCACCACAGTTCAGCCATGCTGGCAACTTCAGGTTAATTAAGAAATTGTGAGCAGATATTTCAGGAGATTTCTATAGCATTCTAATGATATTTTTTCTTAAATGTTCATGATCTATAATTTTAGCAGAATTTAGGAAACTGTTGTTAACAGAGGCTTCTATTTGGTCAAAATTCGCAGCTATGTATGTGTGTCAGATGACTCAACAACTCATAATTCCCATGTTTCAAACTCTCACCAGTCAGTAATTTCTGGCTAGAAAATTAGCATTTTAACTATACCACTAACAAAATACAGTCTATTAATATAATGCCTCATGCTTTAACTAATGGGGATTAGGAGGAAACTTGCTACAGACAGTTTATCCCATAAAGGTATTCTGAAGGGTTTCTTGCACTTTCCTTTGAAGAATCTGCTACAGGTCACTGCTGGAGACTGGGCAGTGGAATAGAAAGAGCTTGGGTCTGATCCAGTCTGGCAATTCCTGTGGTCTTTCAGATTTAGCATGAAATCCTGACTCCAATGGAGTCAATGGCAAAACTCCCATTGATTTCAACAGAACCAGGTTTTCACCCCAGAATTTTCCAAAGAAAATCAACATTTGCTATCAGGTTAATCCAACATCCACAAATTTTCCAATTCCTGATTACATTGTGGGATATTTTGGATAAACAGTGTCCTTATGACAGATACTATAGACCCATGGAATATCCAAGACTATTGCATCCAGAGTCCAAGACCATTGCATCAGCTTTATAAGTGTTATAGGTCTCATTGTGGGTGAGGGATTGTACTCTGGTTCCATGGAGGATTTACAGGGTTTTCTGCAGGAACTAAAAATCCTAGGTAGGTAACAGGCCAGGCGAAGTCTAGGGAAGTTGTAAATATGAATTTGATCTTGATGCCTGGAAAACAAAGAACTGAAGACTGTATAAAGTGACCATCCTGACAGAGGGAGAGAGGTCACTCTCCTCTGATCCAAGAAATGACATGAGACTGTGACCAAGAGGGATAACCTCTGCAAGAGGACTTGAAGTAGTTCGAAACCTGCCAGGGTATCCACGTAGAAGCTGGGTGATACCTGCTAAGCTAGTCTTGCATAGAAGCTGCTTATTGTTTTTAAACTATATTTCCTCAGCAGTGCTTTTCTTCTAAATAAATAGAACTTTGCTTTATGAAAGCTGGCTGGTCAGTGATTAACCCTATCACTGCCCATAAGAGAACAGGATTGCAGGTGCTGAACTAAAGGACAGCCTGCTGAGGTGATTACATTGAAGTGCAGGAGACTGCAGCAGAATCCCCCTCCAAGGCAGATGATTACTAGAGGCCTGAAACATATGTGGGATGCCCTCAAGGAGCCTATGAAGACGCCAGAGGTGCAGTTAACTCGGGGCCTGTGGCAGTCCTCAATCTGATCTTTTATTCCTATTTCCCTTCCATTACAGAGTCCAATTTCCTCTAATGACTGCACTGCACAGGCTTATTGGCTGCAGTGAAGTCATGTGAGGTTAAAGTAATTCCAGCTTCTAATTATCACATGACCATAAATAGGAAGCAAAGACCAAAAGAGGGGTTATTGTGGGGGAAAGAAGAGTGCAAATTTTAAAAGATTTTAACTCAGAAGTCAAGGTACATTGAACTTGATTCCTCTTTGCTGTTCCATGCTATTCTCTATAGTTTGTTATACCACATTCCCTTCCAGTCATGCATTAAGCCATGTGACTAGACATCTGTCGTGTGTTGTTTCTTCTCTATTCCTCTCCCTAGAGGAAGAAGTGTGTCCAGGGAAGTGTCTTGTTTTGATAGTATGTATCTTTTATTATTAGTTATTAAATATTTATTTATATAAATATACCTGTTCCTCTGTGTTTGTATTAGAGAAAGCAAGGTCAAAGAAATGCACCTCACGACACACAATACCCGAGGATTATTATCAGCACCCCCATATTACTCAGATGGGAAACTGAGGCACAAGGTGGATAAATGACTTTATCCCTGGTAACACATAAATCTGTGGCACAGCTGGCAACAGAGTCCAGGTCTCCTAACTTCCAGCCCTGTGAGTGCCTAACAGCTACCCCTCCATTCTATGTATGAATGGAGATCTCTCTACAGGAGTTAGAGACAAGGTGGGTGATATCTTGATAATACCTTTCATTGGACCAACTTCTCTTGGTGAGAGAGACAAGTTTTCAAGCTTACAGAGAGTTCTTCTTCAGGTCTAGGAAATGTACTCAGTGTCACAGTTAAATACAAGGTGGAATAGATTGTTTTGTGATTTTTTTCCCACTTCCCCCATTATGACTCACCTTGAATGGTCCCTTCAAATGAAGAAGAGCTCTGAGTAAGCTCGAAAGCTTGTCTCTCTCGCCTACAAATGTTGGTTCAATAAAAGATATAACCTCACCTGCCTTGTCTGTTTAATATTCTGGGACCAACACAACTACGACAACACTGCATACTGGAGTTAAAGGTGTAGTAGGAAGAGAGCCTGAGACATAAGCCCTTGTATCAGAGGCCTGGTATGAGGCAGGACCAGCTCACAGAATCTGGCAAGAACAGGGCTGATATGGCAGAAATACACATTCCTAAGAAGTGCTCGGCACAAAATACTCATGCAAACACATCCTGATATCCAGTGGTAGCAGAACATCCCAATATCAAAGATGGTACAAAAACATTCCCCAAGGATAACAGGAACACACAATCCTACAAGATAAGGTCAGGATGACAGTACGTAACAGAGATGTTTGGATCGAACCAACATGTACAAGGTGATGGTTGATAACTAGCCACGTCAGGGGGCAATAACTAACTATGCCAGAGGCAGTATGCAACTTGTTTGTATCAGGGTATAGAGATGTATCTCAGAGGAAGTATCTTTGGCCAGTCGAGTGGGAAAATGGAAAATCCCACCATTCACTGAGCTGCGTCCATGTCATGGGCATACATGTCTTAGTATCCACAGAGTCTGCCAGGTTCTATTCCCATGTTTCGTCAACAATAAACCTGGCCGGGTGAGTTTGCACCTTAATGGATCTTGTGGTCATTGGGCAGTTTGCTCAAGGTCTGCTGGGCCAGCTGTCAGAACACACACACATGCAGCCAAACATCTAATAATAAAAGCAGCTAGGCAGAAATCTCTTTTTAAACATTTCTTCTCATTTCTCTCATGCTGGATTTCATGAGCACAGATGCGAGTAAACAAAATGAAAACAAACACTTAAAATACAACTAGGTCTAGACAACAAACCACTTGAAATCCATTTCTGAAAAATGTCTGCTCAACTGCATTCCTCTCAAACAAGCAGATGCTAGTTTGCTGTCCTGATATTAGTACAAAAAAAAGCTTTTATGCAGAGTTAAAATTCTATATAATTTGAAGTAATGCATATAGAAATCCAGAGCCCTATTATACAGAATATGAAGAGGAAAAATGCACTAAAGCCTGACCTTACTATTAGTCTATCTGAACATGAATTAATTGCTAAAGCAGTGACGCACACATCTCCACTTCTGTATAATTACTACATATTACTAGTGAATACGTAAAGAAAGATATATATTGTGACAGGGTCGGGCCAGATGGCTACAGGAGAGTAATTTTTTTTTTGAAGCAAAAGATGTTTTTTTATTTGCATAACACACTTACAAAGTAAAT